CCCCCCAGCCACTCATCTCCCCTTCCCTCAACCTCCGCCCTGCCCCCCCTCAGCCCCCAGCAACATCATTGGTAGCGGCTTCGTTGAGAAGAAGATATGAGATTTCTTCGATCGGACGGCGATGACTGAAATGACACAGGACGGAGTATACCGGCAAGAAGGTCATCAAGGATGAAGAAACCCTAGCTTCATGATACAAAATGATGATGGCAGGAGAAGGGGTGACAATGGTTTTAGCAGCCACAATATGACATGGCCCAAGTGGACCAGATGCTTTAAATAGTCCAAACATCAACTCTGGGAAGACGTTGATTACTTCACGATCACTTGTGGCAGCCTGGTTCCAGGCTGAAGAGGCGCTTCCTCCAACAAATGTCAAGGATTTCTACAAAACAATTATTAGGGAAGGCTGCACATTCCTGGAACACTGTAAGACCAAAGAGAAAAGGGACAAACAAGCCAAAATCAAGGTCTTGCCACTTCCAGGAAGGGGGCTATGTTGCTACTGAGGAGAGATTATACAAAAGAGAGGTGGATTATATCTGCAGCCCTAGGGAAAAAGTAGTTCATGGACAGGATGAAGAATGATCATAGCCCATGTACTTGTTATTGCAAAGATGTCTCTAAGGGACGTTGGACCCCGTTTCCAGCAGGTGTCGCTGCAAAGATGTCTCTAAGGGACATTGGACCCGGTTTCCAGCAGGTGTCGCTCCCCACCAATAGATGGAGCAGCCCACCAGCCAAACCCTCAATCTTGGCGGTTCTCGTACCACTGCCGGGATAGTGGACTTGTGAAAGGGGCTTTTCAAAACAAAAAAAAACAAAAAAAAAAGTTGCCAAATGGAAGGACCGTTAGGCTGCAAAAGTTTAAGGCTAGCAGGTTAGTGGAGAACTATGGCTGCATGTGAGTGTCGTTTTTTTACAAGTACGACAAGTGGAATCGCGAGGAAGGTATGTACCTAGTCTTTGTCTCTGAGATAGGGGAAGCCGTAAAATCTCCCTCAGAGATAGAAGCAGTCATTGCACAATATTAAGACCTTTTTGAAGAGCCTAGGGGTGTGGTAGAAAGGGAGATTGTTCATGCAATTGAAGTTGTTCCCTGTAGCAAGGTACCTAGAGGGCGAATATACAAGATCTCCTGCGGAGTTAGATGAGCTCAGCCGCCAGCTCAAGGAGATCACAGAAAAGGGTTGGATTTGGCCAAGTGCGTCCCTCTACGGTGCGCCAGTCTTATTCGTCCCGAAGAAAAGGGGGACCCTAATGTTGCATACCGTATAGGTGCAGACCAGAACAAGAACCGACCTTTCAATACAAAGTATAAGATAGCACAGCGGAAGACTTAGATAGCAATGATCCGAACAATCAATATTGCAATGCAGCCCCAAACATACATCATCATCATCATTCCATGGTGTGAAGGGGTCTGGCGCTTGACACAGGAAGACTGCGCCAGCCCCAACCATACACAGACGAAGGAGATGGGGGTTAGACGAAGAAGAGGGGAAGATGGGAATGTCGTCAACACCAAGTGTTCAGCACAGGCCCAAATAGTCCCTCGTCGAAATGTCTGAATCCCCAAATGTCGAGTCTGGATCCAATGTCGTCAAGTCTCAAGTCACAACTCTCTCTCTCTCTGTAGTAGTCCGCTGATACTGAGAAGTCAGGTGGTGAGAGGGGAAGAA